ATTGTGGTATTAGTAAAAGCAATGTATTAAAGCCATACATAATCGGGGGGTCGGAGGCGAGTGGGGGTGCGTTCCCGTGGCAGGTGTCCCTTCAACGACGACAGGGCGGCCTTTGGGGCCATTCATGCGGTGCTGTCGTCGTAAACAAGAATTTCATTTTGACGGCCGCTCACTGTATTAATGGGTAAATACCGGGTGTTTATGGATATATGCGTGAAATATATTCAATTTTATTCATTCAATTCTTAGTTAATATTAATATACAGTATTTTATCAACTGGGTGAACCGATTGGGTTTTGGCATTTGGTTCACACAAATGATATATTCATACAACTGATTACATGTTAAAAGTACGAATACGTTGTTGTTTTATAAATATAGTTGACATTGCTTGGTTTTTGTAAGTAACAGTGATCTCTTTATACTCTTGTACTGTAATTTAACTCTATGTTAAGGTTTTTTGGTTTTGTGTACAAAACAAATATTAATGCTGTCATCTAAATGTGGGTTTTATCACAAAATATATGTGGTTCACACAACTGATTGTATTGAATATTGTATAATATTACTCAATTTTGTTCACACAAATGATATGTTCACACAGTTGACGTTCACACAGTTGATACTATTTTAACATTGTGTCTATGGACTGCGGGTTTTGGTTTTAGGGTTTGGTTCATACAAATGCTAAGTTCACACAACTGCTTGTTCACCCAGTTGATAAAACACTGTATTAGTGTTAATAATAAAAAATTATTTACATTTCTATTATTTTTAATACAACGATGAAGTTTAAGCGAATCATCGTTACGGGCAGTGGTCGGCACAAACCAACTCAATGATAAGCCGGGCACTGGCAAGACTACAGCCCATGAAATTAGCCAGATCATTAAACACGAGGCTTACAGCGCTGAGACATTGGCTAATGACCTAGCTCTTATTAAAGTCAAACCCGATTTTAATCTTGATAATTCTGATGGATTTGTAAACAGTGTATGTCTGCCAACAGAGGGACAGAAGTTTACGCAATACGTGACACAATCCGGGTATGTATTAGAGAGATATGTAAAATATACTTCATTGCAAATATGATTGAGTGCATTAAAAAGTTAAAAACACAACTTAAAACTTTTAAGTTATAGAAACGATAAATATTTGCAACGATTTGCGATTTGCAATTAATTTATAATTACATTTTAGACCATTTATGAAAATATTTATTGAACTAAACGATGACTTTTAGTGGTTAGATATTTCTAATTAAAATTGCAATTCTTATCACACATTAAAGATATGGAAAATATTGCATTAAAATAAATATAAAGTAGTAAAACATAAAGTACAGTACATCCTAAACAGTATGTCATGAGTTTTGTGCAAATATAATACAGTATATGCTATTTAAAAAATACTTGTGCCGTAAATCAAGTTTTACATTAAAACAATCAAATTGTACTAAAAATGTATATTGTATTTGGAGAGGGAGAGAGAGAGAGAAAGAGAGAGAGAGAGAGAGAGAGAGATGCTCAAAAACAATAATTCATTTAATATTAATATTGACTTTAAAATACAAACACAATAACTGTTTGAATAAGTTGAATGATGGTTAAACATGTATGAAAAGTATGCACTGTTTGCTTAGATGGGGCACAACAACGGTTGACGCTGGAGGTCAGACGCCGTCCAATAAGTTAATGTTTATCAGTGATGTGCCAATTGTTTCGTTACCCAAATGCCGATCAATCTATGGCTATAACCAGATCCGAGAGGGTATGCTCTGTGCCGGCGCTCCCATAGACTCCCAACAGCCACCGAAAGGCTTCTGTCAGGTATGTGTCCATCACTTGTTTGCATACCTTTNCTCCCATAGACTCCCAACAGCCACCGAAAGGCTTCTGTCAGGTATGTGTCCATCACTTGTTTGCATACCTTTCATATATTGGTGTCAATACATGTTTGCAATGGATTAATGTTTGCATTTCAACCGGCAATGGTATGTGAAGTGCGATTGTTTTTCAAAAATAAATTAAACACAAAACTTAATTATACTGTGTATTCAAACATCTGTTTCGGTCTAATTATACGTTAATCCGATGCTAATGCAAACGCTTAAACGCCGATCCCTTGTATTTAATGCCTAACATTTGATTCACACAAAACTGATAATTGTTCACAATTAGCAAACAGTAGCCATAAATTAATAGCCCTTTGTTTTTGTTGAGATATTATGAAAATCTATTAATAATATTTGATGTGAATATTTAGGGCGATAGCGGAGGACCGCTGACACAGAAGGGGCCCAACAATCGTGCAGTTCTTGTGGGCATTTCGGCCTTCAATAGACGGTGCGCTTCGGCCGACGGTATACCAGATGTTTTCGTTGAGATCTCCTATTATCGCAATTGGATCGATAAGAATGCCATTGAATAATACATGTGTGTAAAAGTTACTATTGATTATTATCGTCATCGATGTAATAAATTTAATAAACGAAAAATACAACAAAAAAACTTTGATAATAACATATTTATTAATTATATAACTTGTTTTGAGAAACTATTTTTGCGATACAATCTCAAACATAACCCATTGTTTTAAAAGTTATTTCTTTCGCTAAAAAAATTATAAATAAATCAAATTAGAAAAGTTTTCATTGAACTGAATTTTTCTAGTTTTCACTAACTTTCAAACTAAACGTCTAATTAAATAACAATTTTAACTCAATTTTATAAATAGTGGAGAATTGTTGGCAAAATGTATGTACAGTACACTAGTGACTAGTCCATTGAATTGCTAAATTTGTACACTATTTAAATAGGATCATTAAGGTCATTTTAGGTGGAAATATACCTTTTTCGGTCTCTCTTTCTCATAACAATTAACAAATTAAATATTTCTCTATTTTCAACAAATATGACACAAATTGTGTGCAATTATTGGATTAGTTTCACTTTAAATGAGAAAAGTTATCGTTTGCCTTAACTATATATGCATTAAATATGCTTTTAATTGCATGTAAATAGTGGTTACATTTAATTGTTTCATTTGAGGTTATATTAGGATTTAAATCGAAATGCTTTAAATACAAACAATAATCATTTTAAACATCACAGAAATTGTGTGCCATTCAATGCAAATATATAATTTTACCCAGAATTAAATATCACATTTTTATATAGCAATAAAAAATCAATATAATGACCCCGATACAATAAATTAATTAACCTTTAATTTATATACCATTTTAAATTAAATGAACAAACTTTCATAAATGACAGTATTATAAAGTCACAAGTAATTTATAGATTTTTAGTTAAAGTTTTAACTTACACAATAATCTAGAAGGTTTTAATTAATATTGTTTGTCAGTATATTATCCTAAAACAGTCGACTAACTCATACTCTATAACCAGGATTTATATAATCTCTTATTTATTTGTATTGATCGCAATAACGATATTAATATCAATGATAATCACAACAAATCATGTGATTGTTTAATAAATAACTAAATATTTATTAAATGAATTAATTGTAAAGTACATGGACTGACATATCCTGCAAATCACACACTTATTAATATTCATTTGAAAATAAATAAGAAAACGTGTTCAAATTATTTGTCATTGTATAATAATAAATTATCATTCATAATCAACACATTTACACAATATTTTATTTCTACAACCTTGATACATTTTTATCCATTTTTGCATAAATATTTAGTTTAATTTAAAAATTCAGTTCACATTAAATAATATTTACTCAACAAAAGTCCATTGAATTCATAGAACTAAATACTATTCACTTAAACCGGAGATAAAGTAATGATACAAAAGAATTAAATCAAAATATTTGGTCACAAATTTCAATGATTTCATTCAATTCGTTCACATTATATAAAAATGGGATTCTTTGATGAAATGTATAATCATTATAACTAATCATTTGTTTTGAACAAATACTTTACAGTAAACACTATTTTTACGTCAATTGTCTGAACACTGGATTAAAAAGTTGTTTATAAAATAAAAATCAATAGCGGATTACTTTTATTGTGATCTAATTTTAATTAAACATTATTTGAATAAAAATAACTAATTAAAAATAATTTATACAATAAACAGTGCAAAAATATAAGTCATCATAAAACTACAATTAATCTTACATAATTGAATATAAAAATTTATATATTAATTAAATATCCAGACTTATAATTCTACCACATTCACCATGTTGCTTTTATATAGAATATTCTGTTAATTAATTTACTCAAATCATAAACAGTTGGACATGTTATCAATCATTAGTTACAAATAAAATATATTTTGGATAAATGTTACAAATATACACATTTAGTTGGGGTTAATAATCAAGGTATTGGTTGTCAAACCTAAACACTTATTCCGATTCAATGGACACCAAATAATGTGATTGACTTTTATATTGCAATTGACTTCCAGTAAAATAAATGTTATGTTCAATAAATTATAAAAATAACAAATATGTTATACGAAAATATTGAAATAATTAAATTATCGCTATATTTATTCATATTTATGATTCAAACCATTGATTTTTGATTAACTGTTTGAGTTAATGATACCTAAATATAAATGTCCTCAAAGTCCTATACATTATGTATTATATAAAATATATTTAAAATATGACAGAGAGGGAGAGAGGGAGAGAGAGAGAGAGAGAGAGAGAGAGAGAGAGATCTGGTTATGTGTTTTGATATTGAGATTTTGATATAACTTATAAATGGTGTCTTTATATAAAATAAACACTTATGGTATGGAAACTCATTCATCATTTAAATAAATGTTTTAAGTGGACAGACATGCGGTCCAGTCGTCTCTAAAAGTGTTTTGTATTTGTTTTGATTGTGTGGCCACTTATCCATCTAATCAATAATTGTCTCA